TTATGAATTTACTGTCTTTGTTGATTATCAAATTATTATAGAAATTGTTCTATTTGTTAACTTCGAAATTTCTGTATTTTTATGGCTCTGAATTTCTAAATTCAGTCTTAAGTTCTTAAAGTATTTATGTTTGAGATACATTCTCAAACTTCTAACCTTCCCAAATCATGTTCTCAAACCTCTAAATCTTCAATCTCCCAGTCTCATAGAATTATAAAGTCTGAAATTTCTAAATCAAGTACTAAAATTAGTAAGTCTGCAAACCTCTAATTCTATCAGTCCTCAAATGCCCAAATATCCAAATGCTCAAGTTTCAAAATATCCAAGCTTCTAAATTTCTAAATCCTCAAGTCTTCACATCTCCAAATCCCCAATCTCCCAAAGTTCTAAACTCTCAAACTCTCAAATGCTCCAGTACCAACATCCCCAAGTTGCCAAACCCATATTTCCTCGAGTGCTCAAATCCTCAAATCCCCAAATTACCAAATCCCTAATTTCTCAAGCGCTCAAATCCTCAAATCTCCGAGTACTTAATCTCCTAAAATTCTAATCCTTGAAATTCTCGAAGCCCTAAATCCTCAATCTCCAAATTTCCAAATCCCCAGACTCCCAATCAAATTCCCCTACGCAAGATATAATTTCTCTAACGAAGAAGCAGTAACAAAGTAATCAGTCTCCACAACGTTTAGCGTCGATTCAACTCAATCGAGCGACGAAAGGCAGTGTTTTGCGAGCTCGGAATTAGATCAAACGTATCGACTGGTGGATTGAAGCGTGGACGCCTCGGAGCGAAGAAAAGTCGTAGCAACTTTCGCGATCGAGACACCGAGATGCTTTGTGAAGGAGAGCCGCGATCGATTCTCGAAGGCGAACCCTGTGCTTCCTCTTCCTGTTCGAGCCGCCTCTTTTGGACGAGCACGGTCACCGTTTCAACTGGCTAATCGGCGACAAAGCGGCTGCTTTGCCAACTACGGGATTACAGTTAACCACTCCGGGGCTCTTTACACGCTCCAGGCTCGAGAGGATCTGCCCGAGAGGAGAATCGCCGGAGATTACTCTAGCTAAACGGAAAGTTTGCGAGAACAGTGTGTGCGTTCTTCGAGATGATTTGAAACTTGTTATGCTTCGTTAGTCGGGAACAATGATATGTTTTTAATAATGATCAGCAACTACGCGTCGAATCCATAGCTCATCGAATTCACCAAGCGTCGAGTTCACCACGCGTCAAATCCCTTACGCGCCGAATTCACCAAGCGTCGAGTTCACCACGCGTCAAATCCCTTACGCGTCGAATTCACCACGCGTCGAATTTACTACGCGTCGAATTCATCACGCGATGAGTTTACCACGCGTTGAATTTACCACGAATCGAATTACCACGCGCCGAACCACCACGCATAGACACTCAACGCGTTGAATTTACCACGCATCGAATTACCACGCGTGGAATCCCTCACGCGTCGAATTCACCACGCGTTGAATTTACCACGCATCGAATTACCACGCGTGAAATCCCTCAAGCGTCGAATCCCTCACGCGTTGAATTTACCACGCATCGAATTACCACGCGTGGAATCCCTCAAGCGTCGAATCCCTCACGCGTCGAATCCATCACGCGTTGAATTTACCACGCGTGGAATCCCTCACGCGTCGAATCCATCACGCGTTGAATTTACCATGCGTGGAATCCCTCAAGTATCGAATCCCTCACGCGTCGAATCCATCACGCGTCGAATTTACCACGCGTCGAATTCACCACGCATCGAATCCCTCACGCGTCGAATATATTATAGAGTTACACGCTCTTTTAGTCAATTTTAAATATACCTTGATTATTTCACCGGAGCTGAGATAATCGGGAAACTGAGGTATAATTGGACGATAAGGTTTGTATGAGAATTAGGAAGCGTGCGAAACCGTGGTCGAAACCATGACAAATAAGTCGTGCGAAATTGCAGGGGCGGAAATGCTCGCGTTTAATTGACTGAGAAACCACGATTAAAACAGATATGTTATCTACCGGAATAACCTGCGAGTACACTTAGATACCTGAGTAATTGAGGTTTTGATATGGGTATATGAAAGTCTACGAAGAAAAAGAGTATAAATATTTAAAAGGTTCAAGAATTTTAATTTCGGAGATCAAGAAACTCTCAAGGTCCCAAGGTATCACGATCCCAAAGCCTCGAGTCTAAAAGTCTCTTAAAATTATTTAAAATTATGGGTTACATAACTTGAAAATTTAAATTGTCCCACATTCTCATAATCTCAAAATTCTGAGGTTACAAAGTGTTACGATTCTAAAATTTCAAATCTCACACTTCTTAAATGACAGTCCCAGAGTTTATGTCCTAAGATACAAAGTGGGAAAACTTTAAATTTCCCAGAGTCTCGAGTGAAAATTGAAATTGGCATCTGCAGTGCAGTCAAGAGGAATAAATACAAAGGAAAATTCCTGCGTAATAGGGTAGAATTTGTGATCGGTGAAATGTAAATACAGCGATTCTCTCCGAAAGCATACACCATAAACATCTAGATTCCACCGTCAAAACACGGAGCTCTACTTTTCCTTTCACCCATCCGCGGATTTCGGAGCGTGCCTTTTACTTTCTACGCTGACGGCGACAGTATAATTGTTCGCGCATTCGAAAAATGTATCCCGTGGACTGATTAATAACACGGTAAAACTTGTAGGAGAATGCTGGAAGATTATAGAGTTACACCTGGACGAACGACCCGAAGAAACAAGGAAACGGACGTGCCTTTAACGCGAATTAAATGGCTGAGAAGACGAAACTTCCGAGCCAGCATAAAATGAAAGATTCCTGAATGAATGCACGAAGTTTCGAGCCACTTCCTTCCACACGCGATGAGGTATTCATCCTCAAAGGAAACAGAGAGAAACCGTTTCGCGTGGTTTTTTGTTAAAATTAAATTCCGTCCATCTCTTTGTTCCGACTACTTTCTTCTCGAAACAGACACCTCCCCGCCATCTTGTCCGTTTAACGCGCCATTCCAGACAAAACTGCTCGGTGGAGCACGACAGAGAGCCAAAGAACACAGGAAGTGTTTTTGATGCAAGGGGAGAAAAAAAGGAAGAAGCATCTTTAAAGAGAAAGCTATGGCTAGCAGAATAAAATGTTTTCAATGATCGATCGATGAGCAGAGAAATTCAATCGAATGAACTTTGAATAAGAATTCTGAGAAAGTGCGGGGAAATTAAAACATTTTTCTTTGGGAGATACTTGCATCGATATTTCTACTCTTTCGTTTTCTCTGCGGGACGTTGAACACGCGAGGTGCACGGAATGCAGAGAAAATTATGCATTCCAAAAGAGGAGAGCAGTGGATGCGACTGTGTGAAGAAGTTGGAAATGGTCGCATACTAAGAATTTCTATGCATTACCGCGTTGGGAATAATATGCCATGGGTTCTCTGTGCACTGAATATACCACGCGTGGAGTTTACCACGCGTCCAATATACCGCACATTAAATTTACTATGCGTCGAATTTACCACGCGTCGAATCACCACGCGTAGATATTCAACGCATAGAATTTACCACGCATCGAATTACCACGCGACGAACCACCACGCGTAAATACTCAACGTGTTGAATTTACCACGCATCGAATTACCACGCGTCGAATCTCTCACGCGTCGAATTTACCACGCGTCGAATTTACCACGCGTCGAATTTACCACGCGTCGAATCTCTCACGCGTCGAATTCCTCACGTGTCAAATTCACCACGCGTCGAATCCCTCACGCGTCGAATCTCTCACGCGTCGAATTCACCACGCGTCGAATCCCTCACGTGTCAAATTCACCACGCGTTGAATTCCTGACGCGTCGAATTTACCACGCGTCGAATTACCACGCGTTCAGTATACCACGCATCTAGTTCACTCCACATCGAGTTTACCACGCGTCGAATTTACTTTGCATCGGGTTTACCACGCACCGAACTTCCTAAGGCCCTGTTATCGAAATTCATCAGTCGTGCTGTTACACTAAGTTCTTTCGCAAAGACTTTCCGCATCGATCGAGCAAATCTGACCGCACAATGCAGTCCATTCAAAGCTCGCAACGCGAACACCTTTATTCCGCGGTCGGTTAATCGTTGACAAAGCACCGGGCCGAGAATACAGTTAGACATCCGTGGATCCGGCCAGCTGAGAGCCTCGAGGAAAGGATAAACAGGATACGAGAAGGGGTCGCGCGAAAGAGAATGCCGCGGTATCGTTGGAACGTCCTCAAGCACGTAAATAGATGCGGCTGGCGAGGATGCGGGGGCGTGTGAACGGAGCTTAACAGGCCCACGTGGCGGTGGGTGTGTCCTGGCTTCCGCATACTCCTCCACGGTCAAGGTGTGTTGTTATCTTTGCCGAGTTGCGTTAACGTGTTGTCTCGAATCTTACGAGAAGCTCTTTAACCCTTTCGTTACGGGGGATTTGTACAGGGTGTTGCAAAATAGGATTGCAATTTTCAGTTTGCTTATAGCATGAGTCGTGCATTTATATATATTTTATTTTGGTTATTTTTAACTTTGGTTTTAAGTAACTTTGGTTGAATTAGCTTTATTCTGCCAGTATGATCATTTTAACTTTGGTCTGCAAATTTGTATAATGGAAAGAAGTAGCAACAAGCAAAAGATACCAATGAAGCTATTTAATGTGGCAATTAGCATTAGCATTTATTGTGGCTTTGGTTTAATGTTGCATTAATCTGGTCAAAGTTAACCTCATTATCAATATGTTTTTAAGAATAAGACTTTATCATGAGGAATATAGTTTAGCAATTTAAGAGACAGCAAGATAAAAATTGATCATATTCTAGCTTTTTATCAATGTTACTCTAACCTGGTCAAGGTAAAACCATTAACAGCATGTTCCTCAAAGAGTTGATTGCAAAGAACTTACAATAGGAAGAGAAATCGAATGATTCGATAAATTTTTACAGCGTGTAAGTACGATAAAAAAAGGTGTTTCCAGACTTACCAGGAAGCGTGAGGCCACACGTGAGAACATGTTCCGGTATGTCGTGAATGGTCCTGGGCGCTACCACGTCGTCGACTCTCTTTTTCGTTCCTGAAACAGGAGACAACAGGGATCTCGTTACTCCCGCATCCTTTACGAATCCGATCTCCGGTTGTCGCGTTTGTATCTCAATCGACGACGGAATCGTATACCAGCAGATTTCGGTAATCTGATATAAGATCGTATGGGGTTTGCGTAAAGAGTGCCCTAACACAGTTGCACAAATATGACCGCGATTCACCCGAGAAAGGATATCGAATGACTTTTCCCAACCCCGATTCACCCGGCCAATGTTCGACCTACCAATGTCTGTTCACTACCGATCATCCCAAATCTGCTGACTCGAAGATTTAGTCGAAAAAGAACAGAATGTTTCATTCGAGAGAAAAGTAAAAATTAATACAAAGCTGGGAAAAGATGATTAAATAAGTATCTGACATATATGCCATCCACAGCACAAAATGTCGCGAGTATAAGAAATAACGAAATATACAAAACAGTTTCCATTAATCAAGATCGATGAGAAGCATCCCAAACACGCATGTGAATGTGCAAATGTAGAAGAGGAGATCGTCCAAGGAAGAAACGAGAATCGTGCGGTTCGCTAATTTGACCCCCCAGTTCGAGGGGCTTCCTCCTAATCTCACCTCTTAACCCTCGTCACCTTCTGCAACGAAGGTGAACGGCGGACTACGCACGCAACTAACTTTTCGCCTTCTAATAATCGCGGCTGCGGCCGCGAGAAGACGAGGCTTACTTTCTACCCGCACGACGTGGACAAATTAATTGCAGGCAATTAAGACGCTCCGCTCGCGGTTTATGCTTTATTGTGGCTGACTTTACGGCTAAACGCGAGCCGGAAACGAAAAAATTCGTCAAGAAAGTACCGCTACGAACCGCGAACTGCACCGAGATCCGATCGCGGAATAGGAACACAAACGTTCAGAGACAGCTACGCTGATGATTTAAGAGCCGTAATTTATAGCAATGCTGCTAATAATGAATTTCGATATATTTTGTTGCGGATAAATTGCCGGAAGAAATGGCTGCTAAACGTTTCGCACGATTTGAGTAACTTTCAGATGGCTTCACAGCGTTGATAAAATAAATGTACTATTAAGTGTGTCTTCGAGAACTTCCCTTTCACTGCAAATCTCTCTGGAAGAACCTGAACCAACCATATTAATAAACTTATGAAATTGGTGTGCAAAAAATATGAGATCACCGCAAAGGGTTAAATTTTCCGCTTCGAAATAGACGGCTGCAAAGCATTGATAAAATAAATGTACTATTAACTGCGTCTTCGAGATCTTCCCTTTCACTGTAAATCTCTGGCGAAGAGCCTGAACCAACCATATTAATAAACGTATGAAATTGGAGTACGAAAAATATGAGATCACCGCAAAGGGTTAAATTTTCCTCTTCGAAACAGATGCCTTCAAAGCGTTGATAAAATAAATATACTATTAATGGCATCTTCGAGATCTTCCCTTTCACTGTAAATCTCTGGCGAAGAGCCTGAACCAACCATATTAATAAACTTATGAAATTGGAGTACAAAAAAATATGAGATCATCGCAAAGGGTTAAATTTTCCTCTTCAAAATAAATGCCTTCAAAGTGTTGATAAAATAAATATACTATTAATGGCATCTACGAGAACTTCCTTTCACTGCAAATTTCTCTTGAATCACTTGGACCAACCATGTTACAAAACTTAGGAAATTGTTGTACAGAAAAATATATCATCGAAAATTTTTCGCGTCGAAATAAACAAAGTTCCATAGTGGTAATTGATTTCTACGATTCGTTTAAAATGCAAATCTCGAGCTCGTTACACTGGGGCGTTAATTGCGCGATAGTCTGCTGCACAGTTTCGCAAGACAATGGAGCCAATACATCATTATAACGAAGCGATTAGCTTTATTAACAAAGGAGACTGTAAGAACGATAAGGGGAACGGAATCAGGGGTTTATCGGTGTCGTTTCGTGGAACCCGTCGATCATTCCTTCTGCGTTTCTCGAGCGTTTATTTTCTTGTTAGATACAAGAACAGGAGGAACGTGGAAAACAGAGGACGATTAAGATACGGAAGCGTGAATGGACAGGAAACTTAGAGAAGAATGAAAGATAGAAACGAGTAAAAGGAAAGATACGTAGATACGAGAAACTTTGATTTGACATTAAACGAGATGTTCCAAGAAAATTGTCTCTAAAGAAAATATAAATGTGAATGTTCTAACTTTCAGTCCGCAATTAGCGAGTTAATTGGATCGTTAACGCCCGATTCGTTTATAGCTGTCATAGAAAATCTGCGTATCGAGTGTCAGGATTTCTAATTTCCAGCGAAAACGCAGAGAGATTCATGGGTCAATGTTCGTTCGCTTTTCCGGACGATGTAAGCGGTGCTGATTGCTCGACGTCACGCGAGCCAAACAGCTGATGCGCTTGCTTTCGACGCCAAACTGGCTTCCCGAGATACCGAACGCCTCGAGGGAGGTTCCTCGAAGAAACGGTACCCCAGCACGCGATCCTCTGCACCGTGATATTCCGCGATCGGACCCACCACCCCCGAATTAAATCGACCAAGAACTTCCTCTACCGATTTCCAAGAATCGTAACTGTAGCTGTTGCTAATTGCGCGTTTAGCAATAGCAATTACGAGTAATTAGCGATCGAGACGAATCAGGAAGTTCGAGCTCGATGGACGAGCTTCCTCCTCTCGGATCTGCCGGAGATCATTGACATAATGATCCGAATGGGAGGGGAGTCTATGAGGGACGATCGAGGTCGCTGATACGTAATCGGATGCTGCTGCACGCGGATGCAGCTGTTGCTTTCGTAGAAACGAGAACGATGTATTATTCGAAGCGTTGTGCTTCAAGAACTGAAATTCTTTCTTAATCCCTTACACTATTTTGACGAGTCTGACGCACTCATACTTCGGTTATGACCAATTTTACAATGCAGAGAAAATTATGCATTCCAAAAGAGGAGAGCAGTGGATGCGACTGTGTGAAGAAGTTGGAAATGGTCGCATACTATGAATTTCTATGCGTTGCGTTGGGTATAATATGCTATGGGTTCACTGTGAACTGAATATACCACGCGTTGAGTTTACCACGCATCCAGTATACCACACATCAAATTTACTACGCGTCGAATTTACCACGCGTCCAGTATACCACACATTAAATTTACTATGCGTCGAATTTGCCACGCATCGAATTACTACACTTCGAATTTACCACGCGTCGAATCACCACGCGCCGAATCACCACGCGTAGATATTCAACGCGTTGAATTTACCACGCATCGAATTACCACGCGACGAGATTACCACGCGTCGAATTACTACACGTCGAATTTACCACGAATCGAATTACCGCGCGCCGAAACACCACACGTAGATACTCAACGCGTTGAATTTACCACGCATCGAATTACCACGCGTGGAATCCCTCACGCGTCGAATAGGCGTCGAATCCATCGCGCGTCGAATTCACCACGCGTCGAATTCATTATGCGTCGAATTCACCACGCGTAGAATCCCTCACGCGTCGAATTCATTATGCGTCGAATTCACCACGCGTAGAATCCTTCACGCGTCGAATTCACCACGCGTCGAATTCACTACGCGTCGAATTCACCACGCGTAGAATCCCTCACGCGTCGAAATCACCACGCGTCGAATTCACCACGCGTAGAATCCCTCACGCGTGGAATTTACCACACGTCGAATCCATCACGCGCAGAATCCCTCACGCGTCGAATTCACCACGCGTCGAATCCCTCACGCGTGGAATTCACCACACGTCGAATCCATCACGCGTCGAATTCACCACGCGTAGAATCCCTCACGCGTCGAATTCACCACGCGTCGAATCCATCACGGGTCGAATTCACCACGCGTCGAATTTACCACGCGTCGAATCACCTAGCGCCGAACCACCACGCGTCGAATCACCACGCGCCGAACCACCACGCGTAGATACTCAACGCGTTGAATTTACCACGCGTCGAATTACCACGCATCTGGTTCACCCCACATCGAGTTTACCACGCGTCAAGTTTACTTTGCATCGGGTTTACCACGCACCGAATATTGAAATTCATCAGTCGAGCTGGTACATATAATACACAAGGACTAAATTTTTTCGCAAAGACTGACGCACTCATACTTCGGTTATGACCAATTTTACTCGAATTTTGAATACATTTCAATTTGGAGTTCAAGTCCAACTATAGTCAACGACTGCGTGATATCAAATTCACATAACATTTCAAGTTTCTGTATCTGTTCTCATGTTATGGCTGAAATTAGTTCCGACTGACGCACTTGACAAAAGGTCAACGACTGCGTGATATCAAATTCACATAACATTTCAAGTTTCTGTATCTGTTCTCATGTTATGGCTGAAATTAGTTCCGACTGACGCACTTGACAAAAGCATCAAAGTGCAAAGGGTTAAATTGGTTCCGCTGCTACAACTATCCCGTGAAAAATCTCTTCCCGAGAAAATACCGGCGCAGAAATGATATAAAGAAGATTTGTAAGTTTTATGCGAGGAGCGCGATCAGGTGGGTCTAATCGCTTCATTTCACGGCAGTTTGTTCGTGGAGCTACCGGGCCGCTCGTGTCAGGTCAATCAGGGCCAAGATTGGTCGAAAGGAACGAAACGACTTCGTTCCACCGACAAACTCGTCCCTCGTGTGGCTACCTACGAATTTGGGTTAATGCACGTTAATGCATCAAAGACGGAACCGGTTCTTTCTTCACGGGTGTCGTTCTTCATGCGCCGCCGATTTGGACGTCCCGTTTCGTTGCAGTCATTTGCGATCGTTACGTATTAATCACGCGCCTGTTGTTCAATTCGCGGCTTTGTACCTTTTTCGCTGACGACGAACCGGTTGAACGGTTCATCGCTTCAGCCTACTTCCTTTCTTTAACCGGGTGCCTGGAATTTTGGTAACGATCGTTGATCGATGAGAAAAAAATGCTAAGCGCTGTTTCTGCTTTTTATAAATCGAAGTTACATTATACTCGAAGTA